AGCGCCCGCCCACGCAGTAAGCCAGGGTATCCTATGGCCGTGCCCTGCCCCAAGCGGCGGGTAATTTTACCCGCCGCTTGGGGCAGGGCACGGCCATAGGATACCCTGGCTTACTGCGTGGGCGGGCGCTTCCCTACGCAGCAAGGACCGGGTAACCCTACCCAACCCTTGGTGCTATCCTGCTGCTTCCCAGCCTCCTCGTTGCTGTGCCTTGCTGCTGGTTCTGTGCCTTTGATGTCCCGCTTTCTGCTTCTGTTCTGAATAGAAGCCCCCTTTCCGAGGCTGCATGGAACGCGACGGAGTTCAATGCTTGCATGGTGAGCAGCAAGGTCTATGTGAGTTGCGGAAATTTGTTCTGGGTCAACATCAGAAAGATGGTGACCCCATCTGTGCCTGTGAACAAAAAGTCACTGAAGCTCATGCAGCAGGCATTCTTCGACTCTGGGCCCCAGAAACTTGGTTTGGAGGTAGTGGTGGCTGTGAGCAACCAGACGCAGAAGAGTGATGGTTTCATGAAAGCCGCCCGCTCCTCACTGCTTCAGCGCATCTCCCCCGAAGAGGTGGACCATGCCCTCATCCTCCACATTGCGCAGAGAATTCGGGACGGTGCCACCGAAGAAGAACTCAGGCCAGATGCATGGTGTTGAATAGGCAAACTCGTTGCAAACTCGCACATGTCTGCGTGCTCGGTGTCCGTGTACCCTTTGCTGAGATGTGGATGTAGCTACTCAGAGCCCTTTTCGTTTAGAGCATGGGTACTCGCAGGAGCTGGCGCAACGTGTGCTTGAGCATCAGCCTGCGGTGCGAGAAGTTGGATAACGGCTTGCAGTGGCGACAGCTCAACCTCCGGAATGCCTACGTCGCGACTTACGAATCATGCTCAAGGTCGACGGTGCAGCTGGTTTTCGAAGTCATCAACCTCAAAAGGGATTTGAACCTGGACAACAGCGCCTTGGCACAGCTTTGGGCTAAGAACACAGTGGCGACCGACTCCGAGCTCCAGGAGAAGGTCGACACCGCCTGGGTCAATACGGCCGTGAATGTGTACGTGAAGCTTCTCGGCAAGGATGCTTGCTACAGCATTGTGCACGAGCTGGAGCTGCGCTACGGTAAGAGTTGCCTGTTCAACTTCATGCAGACCTTGGAGGTTTTGGCCAACAAGACCTCGGACACAGACGAGATGCTGTGGCTGCTGGAATGCATCAAAGATGTGCTGTACACCAAACAGTTCAGCAACAAAGACCTGTCCAGTCGCAAGCTCGCTGGAGGAAGGGGTGGAGGTGCGCGAGGCCTTCTGGATGAATGGCTTGCGAAACGTGGGATGGCCCTCTTTCTTCTGAAGCACGTCGGGGAGAAGGGACTAGCCTTTGACAAGGTCCAGAACCTCGACAAGTTTCGCAGTCACTCCCACTTTCGCTCCATGTGCGGAGGTCTGCCTGGAAGCTCCGCTGACTTGAGCTGGCAGGGCCTTTTGACTGAAGCCGAGCGGAAGGTCATTTCCTTCTTCAAGGCCGAATGCGGGCTTGAATCCCAAAGAAGTTTCTACAGCAGGTAAGCCTGATAAACTTAAAGCATGCTTTGAGGAGCGATAAAGAAGAGGGCGAGAGAGATGGAGTCTATATCTGCCTTCCTGGCGAGACAGGTCGCGATCTTCAGCGCAGACCTGGACCCTCAGCTGAAGCAAGCGCTGAAGTCGTGCACGGCTCCTAAGGACATCATGAGCAAGGAGCCCTTCGAAGGCATGCTTCGGGAAATCGACGAGCTCATCGAGCAGTTGTGCAAGAAGCCCGCAGCGGAAGTGGCCGAGCCCCCGGCCCCCGTCGCAACGACCGCCACAGCCCCACTGGGATCTTCGCTGGACACCCTCCTAGGGCAGGAACATGTTGCCGGCGAGCATGGGGAGACCTTCGAGAAGTTCTTCCAGGAGGCCACAGAGACGGTGGACAAGTTCGTGAAATTGATTGTGGATCATTCGAGTGTCGGTGACTTCAAATCGGTGCTAGAGCACTCAGCCCTGGCCAGCGCAGCCGTGGGACCGGAGTCCCGTAGCCTGCTGATCTACGACACCAAGAACGTCGGGGAAGCAAGTGCTCAACCGCACATAAGACTGCCGAACTTCCGAGCTGCACATCTCAAGAAGGCGGTTCACGCATTCTGTCAAGCCCGTGGCCAGGCTAGGGTTGTGAGAACTTTGAGGGCGCCAGGGCTTTGGTGTTGATTGTGTTTCAGGCTTTCAGCCTGAGTTCGTTGCCTGCACGCGCCTCCCCCCCTTTTCTTTGTTTTGGAGGACCAGCTGGAGGGGAACGACACCGTTCTCGTCCTGGACGGGAACAGGTATATAGCCCCTGGAATCATGTCGGCCTTCACCAAGGTGTCGTCCGGAGATAACATGGACGAGAAATGCAGGCAGGAGATCTGCATCTACTACCAGGAGCAGACAGTCCGTGCACGGAAATGCCGCAGCAGGGGCATCGTGGACACGCACGAGACAATGCATGTTGTGACGTGCGGGAGCTTGAACATGCCGAGCAAAGAACGAGCCGTGTATACCACAGGCACCACCATGAGCTCAACACTCGGACCAGTGCAAGTCGAGAAATACGAAGCCGCCGCTACGTGGAAAGTGGAGGAATCCGTGAAAAGCAAGTTGCTCGGTCCAGCCGGCAAGGTCCTGTCTGGAGGAGGGCTCCCTGATGCGCCGGAGAAACCCACACTGGAGCACAACATGACGGTAATGACGTTCCACGGGATGCCTGTGCCTTTCTACGAGGAACTCATGCACAGCTACCAAGCCGGGGTCGTGTACCACGCCCTGGATGTCGACGGAGCTTGCGCTAAGGCGGCCATCAAGCGCAAAACCAGCTGCGTCAGTGTCGTACACACTGAAGAGCACAGGCGTCGCCTACATGATCACCTGGTTCACTGGGTTTGGCAGCAATTCCTGGAGACGGGCGGGGACTTGTTCCAGGTAGGCCTGCCTTAGCCTTACAAGACAGGGCTACCTGTTTGTTCGCTTCGTGTCGCGGGTGCAGCTGCCATTGTTGCTGACCGAATGCCTGCTGCAGGATTTTGTTTCTTAGGCCTCCAGTTAGGACTGGGAACTTCTGCTGAAGAATCCCTGCCATGGGCGAGAAGCAGGGCGGCAAGGCTGCAAAGCCATCACGGGTCTGGGCCACCCGGCAGACCCTGCGCCAGGAGTGCAGGAGGCTGCGTTTGAGCCAGGACGGCACGAAGTCTGATTTGGCGGCAAGGCTTCGTGCAGCTGGTGTGGACACAGGGCTCAGTCATCTTCCAAAAGGTGAGATGACGAAAAAATACCGCTGCCGTGACTTGGTGCCGCTGAAGTCCCCAGAGCGCCCGGCAGTGAAGCTTGAGCCAGGGAAGCATGACTTGGTGCCGCGGAAGTCCCCAACGCGCCCGACTGCAAAGCTGGAGCCAGGCAAGCGAGTCTCTCGCGGCGAGCTGGCAGGACGGGGCAGGTTTGGCCAAGTCAAGGATGAGATTGACTCTGATGGCGAATCCCTATCCCCGCAGCCGCGGCGATCGCGGAGACAGTTCAAGAAGCCAGACCGTTACTCACCAGAGGTCACTCCCATGGAAGACGACTACACTGTGACCGAGTCATCCTCCGTCTTGGACTCCAGCGAGGAGTTCCACATGGAGGACGAGCTGGACTGGCAGATCGAGACCAGCGGATGTTTGAAAAATTTCATTTTGGATCCATTCGACGGGGAGTGATTGCAGAATGTGGTTCCCGTGCACAGGGGGCACTCGGTTTGCTGGCAAGCTACAGTAGCACTGTGCAGAAGCCACGGAGTGCATCGTCTAGGAACCTGCAGGGAGTGTGCATTCTGGACCGCTAGTGTGAATCAGGGGACAAAACAAGCTCTGAGCTGCAGTGTGACCTGCGGTCCAACTGCAATCCACTCACGGTTTGCGCACGCTTTCTTTTGTGATGGGACTGCACATGCACGCTCGCAATTTAAGGTCAAGCGTGATGAAGAAGGCGGGCTTGCTCACGGATGCGGAGGAGTCGTCCGCAGGCAACGGCAAGAAGGGAAAAGGTCGCGGCAAGGGCAAGAGCAAGGGCCTGAAGAATACCACCGTGCCGCTGAAGCTTCGCCGCCCGAGAAAGCCCAAGGCGACACCAAAGGGCAAGAAAGGGCAGGGCGAGGAGCAGGAGGACGAGGGGGGAGCGGAGAGCAGTGGCCAGAAGCGCAAGGGCAAGACCGGCAAGGGTGCCGCTTCCAAGAAGGTTGCTACCAAGGAGACCCTCTTGAAAAAGATCGCCCAGATGGAAGGAATTGAGGAGTCCGGAGCCGCGCCCGGCATCCTGTGCGTTGACGAGGAGGAGAGCGAGGACAGCCAGGACAAGTGAGGAGATTTTTTGCGGATCCAGATGCAGTAGCATTTCCACTTAATCGTCCACAGTGTGTTGACTGAAGGACCTGTACAGTCGTATCGGCTCGCGTCGCTTCCGTGCGCGTAGTGTCATTGCACGCAAGAGTCGTGAGTCAGACCACCCAGCTACATTTCGGTGTCTTCTCTCAGGGAGCGACCTGGGCATGATGCTCATTCACGGAACTGCAGGGGCTGCCGACGTGGATCCAGCCGTGACAAATGTGCAATGCACATCTGACACCCTCCTCAATGTATTCTAGAGTCTTGTCCGCTTCAAGGACTGCCCTGTGCCAGGGACCATTGAGAAATTGCTGAGCAGACAGAAACTGTGGCGGTCAGTCTACGCGGGATGATTGAGTGTGTCATGTGACAGTGCATGCGCCAACGCCTGAATAAATCGACTGTCTGTCTGTCTGTCTGTCTGTAAGTGCTCGAGTGAGAGTGAGAGTGAGGGGCTTAATTATATTTCTGTCAGCCATGCCCCTCAAAGTGCGGAAGGACCTCATGCAGAAGCGTCGGGGCAACAGTGCGGTGTCAGGAACGGAAGCGACCTGGAAGATCTGCTCCGTCATCCCGCTGAAGCCCGATGGCTTCACACTGGGTAGTGCTTGCAGCGGTCTGTGCGCTGAAGTCTTTGCGTGTGCGTTGCTCGGGGCAAGCTATGTTCCACTGCTGGGCTGTGACATCGACGCGGCATCCAAGCGGCTATGCCAGCAGACGCACAAGCACGCGTACTGGTACAATGACGTTGCGGGCTCCGATTTCCAGGCCAGCCCTTACTGTGACGTTTTCGTTGCAGGCTGGCCATGCCAGCCCTTCAGCCGAGCCGGCAGCAATCAGGGGGAGGACGATGCCCATGGACGTGGAGGAGTCTTGAAACACATCATCAGGTGGCTGGGCAGCCACATGCCCAAAGTCTTCCTCCTGGAGAACGTGGATAACATGACTACCAGACATCAGGAGTACTTTCTTGAAGTGCTGCAGGAGCTGCTAGGAATCCAGCACAAAGGTGTGCCAGCCTACCAAATCAGCTGGAAGGTTCGCAATGCCAGGATCCACGGAGGCTTGCCGCAGAACAGAGCTCGTACGTTCATCTGCGGGATTCGAGCAGATGTGGCCCGTGGTCCCATGCAATGGCCTGCGGAGGCCGAGCAACTGTTGTTCTGGGTCTTGTAGAACGTGTCGTTATGGCTTTGGTGGGGTGATCAGCTGTGGAAGTGGGTTCGTTATGTCCATGTAGATAAGGAGCACAGAACATGAATGCCTTCGAGTGTTTGTTCTGCATTGCTGTCTGCCCAACAGATCCCCATGCTGCCCATCACGGACTTCATAGCCGGCGGAAGCAGTCCCAGGCGGTGGCCTGGAGCAATGCCCACGACAATGACCGGCCAACGCAACCTGCTAGCTGTCCTGCAGAAGCTTCAATGTGCAGGCCATGACCCGCTGGCAGAACCTTTCGTGGTAGACGTGCGCGGCTCGTGGCCGCACTTCAACTACAACTACAGCCCATGCCTGACCAGAAGCCGCGCTGGCAGTGGAGGCCATTGGCTGACCTGGAAACAGCGAATGATGACTCCGGCAGAGGTGTGCATTCTCATGGGGTTGCGTCTGACTGATCTCAAGCATGACCTCTCGGATCGGCAGCTCTTGTCGCTCGTGGGCAATTCTATTCCTACAACTTTGTTGGCACGAGTCTTGCGCGGTGCATTAAAGACAGCGGGTCTTCACCGCTGACAGGCTATGTGCTCAGACTTCCAGGGTAGAAATTGACAGTGACTGTCAGATTTCTGTCCTGCCCGCAAAAGATTACATAGGCCACGGTGAGTCACAGTCCACCGGGTTCGAAGTCAGCTGCCTAGGGATGTGGCAGGCGAGGCGGAGAAAGAAAAAGCAGCCCTAGTCGAGCTCTCACTGTACACGCATCTAGGCTTTCCCCAGGCAAAGCCTCCGATCTGCTGCACGTAACACAGGGGCCACAGATTCTGCGGACTTTTCCACATACCCTTTGTAGACCCTGTAGGACTCGATTTGAGCAAACGCCATCGTTGCATCTGCTGAGACTTCGGCACCAGCCAGGGTAGAAATGCAGTGACGTCGTCCTGAGTGGGAGCGAATCGTGTTGCCGTCTAGCAAGTCCGGGTATTTGTTCTTGAAGTGTGCTAGGAATCCTTTCCGGTGTTGCCTGATGACAGCGGCGACCGTGTCTTTGGTGACATGACGGGTCTTGGTCTTGCAGGTGGAGCGGGCCGGGAACAGAAGCCCTCTGGCCGGCCACTTGAACGTACCTTTCTGTGACTTCACTCCATGCTTCCGCATCTGTCGTAGCGCTTTCAGAACAGAGGGCATCAGAGGTTTGTAGATGCCGACATGTTTCTTGAAAGCTGCGATCCACACCCTCTTCTTCTTCAGGTTGAAGTGCTGCGATTCGAGTCGTCCCGCCTGCGTGATACGGAGGCAGAGTGCGGAAGTGAGGAAGAGAAGCATGTAGTACTTGGCGCCTGCGTGTTCCCGGATGTAATTCAGCCAGTCCGACCACCTCTCTCCGAGTAAGGCATTCGCGCGGCCAAACTTCCGCTTCGCAGGCATGGCAAGGGTGCTGCAAGGGATACTTTGCAAGGTCGAGTGGGGATGCCTCGTATGTGCTCTCAGCCATAAGAGGACACGCGTGCATGGCAGGTCTATTATAATTTGCGTCTGTATGGTAAGGATCGTTAAATGTGCCTCATGATGCCGTCAGGGGAGGCCGCCCTCGGGCGATCCGGGGAGGCCGCCTTTGGGCGCCAAAAGGCGGCATGTGTTTGAGGGTTTTCAGTCTTTCCCGCATTGGCTCGGTTTTGGGCTTGGGGTTCAGGTTTGGTTTTACTCTTTGGTTTTGAATGTGTTTGAGGGTTTTCAGTCTTGAGTGACAGCGTGTGTTGTGCAGCCTACATAAGCTCCGCACTGAAAGCCTGCAACCTCCTTAGGTCCTAGTCGTGTATGCAATCCTACAAGCACTGTCTCGACAACTTAGCCTATGTCGAGGCAAGACCTTGGACGCGCACCTTTCGCGGCGACTGCTGCTCAGATGATGCCGGAACCTTGGCAGTTGAGCGTCGAGTGAGCACGCCACGGGCTTGTCCGCCGGTTTCGGAACCGGCCACTTCCGAGGTCTGGTTTCCCCTCTGCTTTCCGGCCTCCGTCGGCGGGCGCCCCAAGGGTCCGGCGCATTCAGAAACCTGGTGAGCTGTCGAGAATAAGCGGTTGGTCCAGCCACTCGCTTAGTGCATGCGTGCTGGAACTGTCTTCGGAAACAATGTATCGGAATCCCGAAGCACGACTGCTCCAAGTTTTCCCCCACAGAGTGCACACTGCCTCAAGGTGGAAGTCGCAGCTCGCGGGGTCTTCGCCTCAGAGTCAGCTTCTGTGAACATGTTCCTCTGCGCTCCCTGAACAGCAGTCTGCAAGAGAGTTGGAGCTTCGATTGCGGGTGGATCAAGCAGGCACAAGTGTCATGGGCACGAGCAAGTCGGCGCACACATGCATGCAGGACACGTGCACACATGCAGCGCAGCAGCACACACATGCACGCATGCAGGACACATG